TTTTTCTTAAGCAGTTTTCTTTTTGGACTGTTTTTTTTTCGCCCGCTCGCTCCGATTTTGGGGTCCCTAGAGGATGTCATCCATAAAAATAAAAAAGTGTGGCCTTACTGCTTTGGCTAGAAAAAGTTGCTCACAGATTCCCTAATAAGGTTGATATCTGGCGATGGTGATTTGTTTCTCGCCATTCTGACCCGGGGCAGCAATCCTGTGGCACACTGTTAAAGATCGAGGTACGTTCAGTTTACGCACCATATAGGGGCGGATCCAGAGATATTTTCTGACAGTCTTCCAAATTATATTTGTTGATCCATCCTCCATTATTGACCGTCTTCCGACAGAAAAAATTAGATACATGTCAGTGTTAACTCTACAAACTGACCGTCTTCCAGAAGACCCAGAAGACGGCCTAAATCCGCCCCTGACTGTATCTAACCTCAGCAAAAATGTCCACATAATAACTGTGGCCCTGCTAGAGGGTGCTTAGACTAGACCAATGAGGAACAGTAAACGTCGGTAAAAGTAAAAACTACAGGGTTATTATCGTTTGTAGGTTCTGGAGGGGGCGGGCCAGACAATTAAGGTGATTACACTGAATATCCTCGCAGATATAGAGAGATCTTGCAGGACTGATAATTTTTAAACAGAACACAGCCTTGGTAACATGTATTTTTATTGGGAATGGCTCTGTTTTAACCTTAATATCATGGTGCCTCCATACTCTGTATTGCAAAGTACACGTAAAAACTTTTCTCAATTTTGCAGCCGACTAGACTACATATACCCTCATCACTGCTCACGTATTTAAAGAAATCCACTTGCTATATAGTTTTCATATGATCATCTATTGTATATATACTTTTTTCATTCTTTATTATCTGCCATCCAAATATTATTTCCTCAGTGTCATTATTTGAGGATACTGCTGGAATTAATTGCAAGGCTTTGGCTCTTCTGCGGTCCTATCTTAGGTACCTAGGCCTAGTATGATCTAATTAGGGAACTAATCAACATTGTCCCTAAAGCACCCGGTATCATTTATCAGTAATTAGGTGCATTCATTACAATATCTACAATAAAGGACTTGTGCATATATATAAATATGAAACGCGTGAGGCTGTATAATGTTATGCCCGGAGATGATAAACGGAGATCATTAGGCTAGTAGTTGCAAGCCATAAGTCTAGCTTATTCTCTTCTGCATTTTAACTGTGAAGGGTCACGCGCGGCGCTGTGGTTTAAAAAGTCCTCATTTTTTCGGGACATTTCTTGTACCTATTTTTAACAAAATTTGTAGTTTGTGCACAGGTATGTGACGGAGCTTGTTTACAATTCAGTTCGCTGCTAAGATAATGCCAAATTATATTGTTTACACATAGGGGCAAATACGGACGCTATTGCAGAAGCAACACAGCTGGTACACGCAGTACCTCGGTATGGACCGTTATGTCAGACAATGGGAATACACACAGCCGTCCTCCGTATGAGAGATGCAGTGAAATACCAGAACAAAATATCCAAGGGGGGCACGGCGCGGGTCCTGTGAATGATATTTGGTTACTGGAGTGGCCTCCCGAGGACGAGACCAGACCGGTGTCAGCAAAAGACAAATGGCACGCTTTCCGGCGTTCCCAGGGGTTGGTCATAGCCGTGGTGTTCGTGTCCCTGGCGCTCCAAACCAGCCTGTCGGCAACATTGGGTAAGTAATCATATTGGATAAGGCGATGGATTATAAGGCTATTAAGTTAAGGATTAGTGATTGAGGCTATAAGTGATCATGCATATGGTTATTTGATCCTAAGGCTAAGAAGTAATTATACGGCTAAGTGATCGTAAGGCTAAGAAGCGATTATAAGGCTAAGTGATCATAAGGCTAAGAAGCGATTATAAGGCTAAGTGATTGAGGCTAAGTGATCTTAAGGTTATGTGATCATGAGGCTAAGTTATCATAAGGGTAAGTGATAATAAGGCTCTATATTGAAGACTAGGGAAAAATTCGGGAACTTACTCGAATTACTGATTGGTGTGAAAAATGCAGTTGCCACGTGCGTTTAGCATCATTTTCTGCCATAGAAACCACTTTCTTATCAAAAACTTGTGCTGCACCCAACCCTATTCAGTTCAGGTATATATATATATATATATATATATATATATATATATATATATATATATATATATATATGCATACAGGTACTATATGTAGTAAACATGTTTTGCATACGTTCCAAAAATAGTGAAATTACCAACCTAAAGAATGCTCATAGCTCAAACTTCTCACCAGAAAGAATCTTTTTGGCCCATTTTGCCTCCTGTTCCTCTAGAGATTTCCAAAAAAGTGATTATTATTTACCCTACCCTATTATTAGAATGTTACATAGTTTGCAGATGAAGTAAGGTCTATTCAGATGCAGCATCTTGGCTGATTGCTTGTTACACGCAATTCTTTTTAGTGCATTAAAATGTACATATACCGGAATGCCTTGTACTCATATTGTCCTCCGGGAGGACGTGGGTTTTACCCCATCCGAGGACATACCAGTCCTTCATAAACGGTGCCTGTGTGTCCCAGCTTGGCATTCAGCGGTTATCGTGGTTGAGGCAGAGTAAAGTGCCTGGTCTGTCAGCGAGAGATACTGTTCGTTTGTTAGCTTTGAGCGCCTCATACGACAGCCGGGCTGTATCCTCCCCAGGGAGGCGAGACGGCCAACACCCAGTCTGCATCAGGGGCGGATCCAGAAATATATATATACTCTCTGACAGTCTTCTAAATTACCTTTGTTGATCCATTTTCCATATGTGACCGTCTTCAGAAAGAAAAAAAACAAATGCCCGCCAATGTAACTTAAAATATTCTGACCATCTTCCGGAAGACCCCGAAGACGGTCTCCGTCCTCCCCTTGTAAGGTGGCTAAAAATGGCCAAGCGTCCATTGTAAACATGTATATATTGAAGTGCGGTATATAAGGACCAAACTCTACTTGTTTACTTTAACTTGTAATAAATGAAAAAGAGTTATAAAGTGTCGGGTTTGAAATGTTTTAACAATATAAATGAGTAATTTATGAAAGAGATGTGACAGAGAGAAAATAACGATAGTTTAGAGTCAGTAGCTCTGGGATAAATTGAAATAGAATATGCAGTGAAGTGTTAAAAACTGTTTCATTATTGACCGAAAACGACCTCAGAAGAGCCCAACATGTGTAATGCACATAGCAGTTTTAACTTTGATGTTGTGGCACAGGTGGTGATGGCGGTACTTGTAGATACAATGTACTATACTGCGTTGAATAACATGCTTGTCTACGTTGAATAGCTTGCTGTCACAAGCGCGCTACGTGCCAGGTTACCTCGAGCGTCCACGAGGTGTGTTTAAGGCAAATATATCGTGAGAGCAAGAAGTCTCTTTAAAACTTCTTGGTGAGAGGGTGTTCGTGTAGTATTTTATTTACATACCTAGAGAAAGAATAAGTATTATAACTGATGCATCTCTGAAGATCTACTTTACAGATAATCCCCGAAGAAGGCCCAGGGGCCGAAAGCTTGGATTATATATGACATCTGTATAGTAGATCTTCAGAGATGCATCAGTGATAATACTTATTTTTTCCTTTAAGATCTATACGGTGAATTGACATGAATCTACATAGAGAAAGTACTCGCATTTCGCCGTGGGTTCGACCCCATCCGAGGACATACCAGTCCTCCATAAACGGTACCTGCTATCTCCCCGCTTGGTATTCAGCGCTTATAGTGGTTGAGGCAGGGTCACGATCACATAACATTTCTTCATTTTTGTGGTAAAAATATTAATTTATTTAACACGTAAACAAAACGTTGTTGTTGTTGTTGTTGTTGTTGTTGTTGGTGGCGTTGAAAGGCCATTTTAATAGATTAAAATCTGTTTACTGGAAAAGGAGAACCTGTATTTTTATAGTGGCCATACAGTGAAATACTTCAAGGTGAGATGTTTTTATCATTAAAATACTGCGGCATTGAATGCAGAACCATCACGCGATAGGTTGTAGGCTATAGTATATTGCAAACTGAAAGCGAATGCAGTTGTAATAAATCAACTATAAAAGTTACATAATTTTTGTGACTTCGAAAGGTCTTTAGGCACTTTAAACGAAAATAGAAAAAAATTGAAAGTTGCAACGTTGACATGAGAACTCTTCAAAAGTTATATTAAGACAAAATTAGAGAAATTGATTATTTTGATTTAAATAAATTATGCAGTCAATATTTTGAAGCACTTTTCATTTAAGTCCTGTATTATCGGCCTTGTTACCGCTTGGGGAATGGATTTTAGCCAACTGTCAACCCTTTCAAATTTGGGACTGTTATATATATTTGATAATGGACACCAAATTCTACATCGGTGTACATGAATTTTATATTGCGGCCTATTTTTTTATTTATTTATTTATTTATTTATTTATTTATTTATTTATTATTATTTTTTTTGTCACGTATTTGTGAGTGTGAGCAAAATGCTTTTTCCGAGCTGTCACGAGCGCTGGGTAACAGAAGATTTATTACATATATATTTCCAAGTTTGTCAAGCGTCAAATTTTACTCAACACACAAATAAAATATGTTTACTTTAAGTATGTCTTATAAATCAACTATATCTGGTACTTAACATGTTATTACGGTTTTTTTAAATATTTGCATAAAATTCTGTTGACATTAATGTCAGATTAAGTTATTTCAGTGAGCCATGGTCAAAGTGTCTGTATATTTGCAAGTTTTCATTTTCATTGTTATCATTTATTTATTTATTTATTTATTTGTTTATTTATTTATTGCAGAAGCCATCCTCCCCTGCCTTCTAATGGAAGACGACGAAGACCCAACGACCAGCTGTCAAACCTCTCCCAGTAACTCAAGTGTCGTGGCGGTCCCTGGGGGTGGTGCGTCCGTCCCTGGGGTTGGAAGGGAGGAGCCTAAGATAGAAGGCCTCTCTGGCAAAGGCGGAGTGTTGCTGGCAGTCAAGTTTGCAGTGGAGATAGTGGTGAGGCCGCTGGTCGGGATCGTGGTGGGCAGGTACGCTAATGATTCCATAGCAACTGACTGATTCAAGAGGGGAGAGACTGACTGATTGGCTACGTGACTCACTGACTGACTTACCAACTGACATCTGTCTGATTGACTAAGTGACTGACTCTACAGACTGATACCTGTCTAACTGACTGACTGATTGACTAAGTGGCTCACTGACTTACTAACCGACTGACATCTGACTGATTGACTAGCTAAGTGACTGACTCTACAGACTATCTGTCTATCTGACTGACTAATTGACTAAGTGACTCACTGACTGACGAACTGACTGACGTCTATCTGACTGACTAACAAAGTGACCGATTGAAACACTAACCTACAGAATAGATGGATGGATGGACGGAATGATGGAAGAAAGGGTGGAAAAATGATATGATAACATTGAGCATATACTCCAATATTGTGTTTTATATAACTATTTAAACCATCTTTAAGGTTTGGCCACAAGTCGCCTCTGCTGGTTGGGTGTGTTCTAGATGCCGCGGCAACGATAGGTAATTTTTAAATTCCAATTTAACTAAATGTTTTATTCTTATGCTTGAATCAAACGCAAATACTGTTTATATAATATATACATTTAATTGGATTGATTGTGAGTTTTCCCGTCATATTTGTAGATTTCCCTCTGCTTTCGATGGTTTTGGATACTTCGTGAAGTACTTTGATTTTACAAACACACATTATTTGCCTGCGTATGTATAACACGACAGCTGAAAACATATCTTTATATTTTAAGTGAATGATAATTTCAGAATAATTTAATGATGGTATAATTTCAGCTTTTGCATTTGTAAAACAATTCCCTCTGCTGATTCTGATACGCATGGTTCAGGGTCTGGGGTCAAGTGTCACATATGTTGCTGGTAAGTTTACAGACTTCCCCTTAAAATGATCACCTGAGAAGTCTTCTTCTGAACATAATAGTGTTTATTTCTTTTATTATTTTATCTGAGCCCTACAACACCATAGCAGTCATTAAGTTGTTCAACGATACGTTTTGTCTACTTTTAAGGACCGAATCTCTCTCTCTCTCTCTCTCTCTCTCTCTCTCTCTCACACACACACACACACACACACACACACACACACTACGCACGCACGCCAGCTGATGCACGCGTTCATATTTAATTAATTTTTAAAAATCTGACGTTCATTTTGTAAAGCAACTGTTTTTCTGCACTGTTCTGTTGTAGCTGTGACATTACTTGCTGAAAGATTCAAAGATAAAAAGGAAAGGACAAAAGCGTTTGCAGTGGCATTTGGAGGGTATGCAGTTGGAATGCTAGGTAGGTAGGTAGTTTGTGTTGCATGGCTAACTTAACTTCTCTATAATAGAGTCAGGGTAAGGCGTGAAGATAATTCCATACATAAATTCCCTCTAGACACAGTAGAATTAGACAGAGACATATCTGCGAATATCTAGTGGAAAATCCATCTGTGGTTCTTGAAGAGAGTAGGCAAACCTATGGGTTTTCTTGGGGGTCACAAGGATATGTCCATTCAAGTCAATTTTATTTCCAGTCGGTATATTAAAAAAAAAAGACAAAACGCAAGATATATTCAGGTTTTTGGACCAATTCAGATGATAACAGTCAAAATATTATATATTGCTTATTATTTCAATTTATTAGATAATTATTCAGTGTTCCATAAAATTGACTTGTATTTATTCTGTTACTCATCTTTTAAAGGTGGTTTTTAGTAAATAAAATAAAATAAAAAATGACCTATTTTAGGAGGTTACTCCATGGGCAGTGTGTTATATCAGCTATTGGGCAGACTGGCGCCTTTTCTTCTACAGGGAGGTCTCAAATGTTTTGACGCAGGTAAGGATAATATAATATAATATAATATAATATAATATAATATAATATAATATAATATAATATAATATAATATAATGCAATAAATGTATCCAATTATCATCATCTCAAATGACATTGTGATTTATTGCTTTAATGTTGTAGTCGTACCATTTATTCGAACAGCCAAATGCGTTCTTGGAAATTAAATAATTTTTTTTTTTTTTGTTTTCTCTCGTTCATTTTAGGGCTACGTTTGTTGGTTGTTTGCCCCACAGCGGAGGTAAGATTTGTTATCGAATAAATTCAGTTTTCTAGGATAAAAGGGCGCAGATACGTCCATTTTAAGGGAATTAGATCATTTAGTTATTCCATTAAGCCATACAGCTACTGGGTATAGTGAAATTGAACGCTTAAAACTGTTAAAACATAAGAACGAACGAAAAAAAAAGACCCTGGAAAATATTTGATAATCTCGTAACATTAACTTTTTCATCAGTACCAGTATGAGAATGATTTGTCTATATAGTCAATTTATTAACTTCTTATTTTATTATAGGGTACTGATGACGACAATAAATCGTTTAGGATCTCAAGGTTTCTCAATATATTAAAAGACCCGTATATTATCCATGCCTTAGGTAAGTTCTCCACAAACTGCCTTGTTTTGGAACTTAAAACATATAAAGGCATGCACATCCAACAGGGACGAGATCAAGGTTGAATGTTCCGTTTGGTTTTCATCGAACTGTTATTCGGTACAGCACAACACGGATCCAGTACATTTTATTATAGCTGCTATGCCCATTGAACACCGTAGGTTTTAAACAACGAACAACAACCGACCGTGTCTCTGCTCGTAACAAATTTATCAATTATGTGTGGCCAAACGATATTTTCATTTCTGACCGATACTTTTAATTATTCAGATTCTTTTGATGATGCTTGTATGTTAACCAGTGTTTGCACGCCACTCCCTTGATAAGTACCCCGAGTTTCACATTTAAAAATTCGTTATTTTTCACCTTTGTAACAATGAACGTTGAAAAACTTCTTCTTTGTAGGTTTTGCCTTCGTCGTAAACTTTTCCTACTCCCCAATATTAGCAATGGCGCCACCGTGGCTCCTACAGCGAGGAGCACAGGAGTGGCAAATAGGTAGGTGCGCCGCATTTAAATTACAACATGACCCGCCCTGGTCCATTATAATTAATGCCCGGGACATTAATGACGTCATTACTGGGTTCATATGCCAAAGACACGGAATAGAGAGATGTCATGCACCTTGCGTATTTATCATCTATATTTAGACACGATAGTTTTAAGGATATTAGAACATTCAATTATTTCCAATTGAGTCGTCACAGAGGCAGTATTGAGAGATGCCATTTATATTGCATGTGGCCTGTGTTTATAATTCTAAAACGGAATTTAGACATGGTCATTTTAAGGGCATTAGATCATTGGAATATTTCCATTAGCTAATAAGACCCCATTAGTGAAACTGGTAAAACATATGGAATGAGCAAAACTAGGAAATAATCAATGATCGTGTATATTTGTTAACGTTTCGATTCCCGAGAACAGGTATCATTTGACTCGAATTACTTCCGTATTCAGACCATTTAGAGGGCGATGAAGTTGCACCAAAATGAATTTCACACATGAATAATTAGATAATTAACCCTTTAAGGATATAAGCATCAAAATAAGTATTTGTATTCAGAAAATAAAAACTATAACAGGGGTGTATAGATCGTAATTTTGTGAACGGTTTTAGATGTACCTTACTGTTGAGGGGAAATTGCTAGGCAAATTATTATTCTTATTGCTGTTTAAATGCCTTTCCGTTTTATTTTATTATTTGATCATACAACAGACATTAACATGTACAGTAAGGGAATACTTATCTATATGATACGATGAAATAACAAAAAACGAGGGATTTATTGCCCGGCTTATAAAAATCTTCAATACTAAGAGCATTAAAAGTTTTTAATTTAAGCGCGAGCTTCTTTTTACCATGTGCTGTTGCCAGTCAATTTGACCTATTTGTACATGTTTATTTTCAGGTGTATTATTTGTGGTCTCAGGAGTTGTCCAGCTTATGATGCAAGAAGTTGTAAAGCGACTATCCAAAATACTTGATAAGTAGGTGCCTTTCTCTTCTATACATCAAAAATAGTCAATAAGTACGCGCTTTTCTCTTCTAAACACAACTGATGCGTATACAACACTACTTTGCTTTTTTTTCTTTGCTGTGATAAAAGTAGTCCATTGATTTTTGAACGCACAGAAGACTTTGATGGCGCTCATGAATTACCACATTCTCCGTAAAGATTGGCACCATGAACTACCCTGTGCCTATAATATCTCCTGCCATGGAAGACTGTACTGTTTAACTATGACATACAGCAACAACAGGTTTAACTCTCAAAACTTTACTGAAACCAAACTATTGGCATATACAGTTAATATACGTATCACATCGTACATGTATGCTGTAGTCTAGTCATATATATTAGTTAAGTAAACTCAGTTAAGTTCATTAGGTAAACTTAACCCAAACTATATACATGTTTCAGTTGGATTTTAGCTGCATCAGGACTGCTCTTATTTGTAACTGCGTATATTTCGGTAAGTTTATCTCCCTGAAAAGCTGAGGGCCTATTTTTCAAAAGAACTTTAGGCCAAAATCTGGTGTAAGCCTACAAACTAAAAGTTTTAGCAGATTTGACCCTTTACAAATCAGATGCAGCTTTGTTCTCAAATTCCTTTGTAAAAAAGGCTTTCCTTATTTATTTATTTATTTATTTATTTATTTATTTATTTATTTATTTAAAGTGTTTTGCTGAAGACAAGATTGGTTCACGTTGAATTTAAAAGTTTAACTCTCTCACACCTTTATGATAAACCAAGAAACCAAAACTGCACCTGCTTATTGAGAGTATTTTCGCTTTAATAGTACCCATGGACGAGGAGTGTTTGGGAAGCTCTGGCACCGAACTGTATCTTGTGTGCTGGATTTGCCTTTGTGATTACAGTCGTGTCGCCCATAGTAACCAACCTCGTGGAGCTACGTCACAACTCCGAGATAGCGCAGGTGCTCGGACTTTCCAGCGCCATGTTGTCTCTGGGGTTCGCTGTTGGTGGGTATAGCTTACCTTGCATAACAGGTGTCAATAGTCAAGTCAATTTATGGGTTGGGGTTTTTCTTAAACTATAAGGCTTCTTTTCGTATCTCATTCAAGTCAATATTTCTCTTAAAACAAATACAAATAACATTAATTTGAAACCATTAGAGTAACAGTTTGTCACGCAGTCAGTTGAAAGGGAATCTCTCTTTCTCTCTTTCTCGCTTTGAGTAGAACAAAGTCCTAATCCATAATCCACTTTGTTTTTTTTTAAGGAACGTCAGGTACTGGGGCACTTATGGCCGCTACAACGTTCGAATGGTAAGATTATTCAGAGAAAGGCCTTATAATTTGTTATTCTGATGTTAAACTTGATATTTTTCTTTCTTCCTTTTTTATTTATAACACCCCTTGTCAATCGCCATTCTCTTTGTTGGCTTTGTGACGACATAAAGACAGAATCACAAAATTAAACATTAAACATGGGCATACATAATCACATAGTTTACTCTATAAGCTCATTACACATAAGAAGGAACAATTATATATGTGTGTGTGTTTATTCATTTGCATGTTTGATCGTCTTATTAATTCTGATATCTATTCACACTGGCCTATCTGTACACATTGCAGGGCATGTTACCTGGTTGCATTCGTGTGTATCTTATACGCATGTTTATGTCTGATAATGATCTGTCATCCAGTGCCAGAAGAGTGTTCGGTAAGTGTAGAAAAGTTATTGTTTTTTTCCATATTCACATATTCACTATTCACCAGATACCGGTATTTTTTTTTTTTTTTTTTTTACAGTTGGAATAGTCTACCTTTTTTACAGTGTAGCATGCCGTGCGTCACCTTTTTATTATTCCTTTTTTTTTTTTTTTTTTTTGTTAACATGTTTATTTTTGTCTTGCAGGAATAATTTTAGATTGGTTTAAGAAACCCTGTATTATACTCTGTTCTGTATTCTAGGAAGAAAAATCTGATGGAAAAGCCTACGAAAGATGTCCTTCCGATGAAGAATAAACGGGTTAAAAAAACTTACGGTGCTCCGATATGATTTCGTTTCTTAAACATCATTTACCTTTACCACCATTTTTATTTGAAATCTAGAACATTATCTCAGGTACACAATAATATAGGAGTCAAGTTGTCTGCATAGAGTTAATTGGAATGAAACACATTTCCTTCGTGTGTGGGTGTGTTTGTGTGTGTGTGTGTGTGTGTGAGAGAGAGAACGCTATACCTACTGTGCCATGCTGACTTTATTATAGATATATTTATTTTCATTCAATTTCATTCATTTGCTTTATATCAATTAATTATTGAAAAACTTATTTGACTGAATAAAGACAAGTACAGTGAAAATGGAGATACTATTATTTTTGAAGAACTGTTCAAAAAATTAATTGATAAATTACAGTTGACTAATCGCTGAAACAATAAATAACCTAACTTTGAACAAACTTAAAAGGTAATGAGCCATTGAAATACACAGCAAAGCTGCCAAATATACAATCACCAAACAGCAAATAATGATAATAATAATAAGTAAAGCAAAAATAAGGACGGGCACCAAAATTCTAACGTAGCCTCATTAAGAAAGTATCTTAGTGACTCCTCTGTAGTGACTTTTCTAAACGCCCTTTATCTTCGACCGATTTCTGGAAGCCAGTCAAAATATTTCAAGAGAACTGGGGTATGTAGACAGTGTTACTTTGAGTTATCAAACACGAAACGTTTCATTTCGCCTAATTTAATGTAATTTAACCTCAATCAGGACGCGTCGACGTGTGTAGTACAATCAACGCCCTTGGTATAATGCGGTAGGGGAGACACTGCACGAATATGGGGCAGATTGTGGTTGTTGAGACGTGATTGCGACTGTTGAAGCACCCCGAGTTCATGTACTGTTCCCATTGTAAACCAAAATGTTAAAAAATAACAAACACATATACAATCATTTGAACGTTTGTATGTCTACCTAAATACAATCACCGGTAAGACAGCGTATTATTGTTAAATGTCAAAGTAATCTCAAATATCAGAATATTATTGCTTAATCCACCATACATTAAGTAGAAAGGCTCGCGCTTGTCACTGTTATACTGTACACATATCTACAGGTATACAACCGCTTTATTAAATATATTTTATACAACCCTGCTGCTAGGTCAGTTTTATCAGTGAATTCAGTCCGATAACAACAATGAAATGTGTCACCATGTCTATTGTGCACATAGAGATAGGGCCATAATTGCTGAATAAGATAACTTTGAAGTCTCCTTGAACATTGAACACCTCACCTGACCAGGTTTACATGTCACGAGAGACAGCACATCTAAACGGCGACTGGGGGTGAGTACCTGCCACCAAGAGAAATATAGCTGGAGTAAGGAGACTTAGAGGTAATTCTAATTTCGAAACAACACTGTTGGTGATTAATACAGTCTTTGTCTATACGTAGGGCGGTAAAACATAACTCGTTGTTACCCAGTTCGAAATTTATGATTTTTGTTCCTTGATATTTTGGGTGGGGTTTTACTGTTATTTTTTATCTCTGAATGTTTGGTATTCTCAATATCTGTGTAGTATTTATTCGTCCTTAAATTACCAGTGATCTTCCGGTTACCTCTATTTTTTAACCCCATATTTTTAATATTTTTAATTTCATAATTCCGTTGATAGATTAAATATGTTAATTACATATCTGTATGGTATGTATATTTTTATTTTTATTTTCATTTACTTATTTATTTCAAATTATCTAGCTTTGTGTTCGTGCTATATTACTCTCATCTTAGTGGTGCAAAGTATTGTAATATATAATACATAATACATTTATAATGAGGGGCTTACACATTCTGAGGGTCCTCCGCACGTCTTTCGTGTCGGGAATTGCCTTATTTCATCCAAGCATTAAGTCTCATACATTACACTATATGTACTTAAACTTAGCTTCATGGTGTGTGTTAACCTCAATTACCGAATCTTAATCATTTAGTCCATGTCTTCCATTCTTCTGTTTCAAGATATTGGTCCCAGGAGACATGTCTTTGTCCAAAATCTTAACGGAAGATTACCTAACGTGCAGCATATGCCTTGAAAAGTTCAAGGACCCCAAGGTCCTCGGCTGTACACATACCTTTTGCCAGCATTGCCTCCAAGACCATTTGGACAGAAATTTCCGAGGTCAGCCTCGCTTCCCTTGTCCTATCTGTAGACGTCAATGGGACCTCCCTAGGGGCGGTGTTAGCAGTTTACAAACAAACCACCTTCTGGTCAGCATATCACACACACTTGGTCAAGTAGAAAAGGCAAAAAACGCCAAGAAATGCGAGGTATGTTGTCTGAAAAAAGCCCAGAATCCACCATCGGCAACAAAACGTTGTTTGGACTGTGAGGAAAGTATGTGTGGCGATTGCTCTTCGGAGCATGTACTTCATAAGTTAAATCGTGACCACAAACTGTTTCCTGTCGACCAGTTTGACAGCGACGAATACGCGAAAGAGCTGCATGCCCGACAAAACGTCCTTTGTGACCACAACAACAAGGACCCCGTAGAAATATTCTGCTCAGTGTGTAAAAAGTACATCTGCGCCACTTGCATGTTTTTGGAACACAAAGAGCATGATTGCCTAAGATTAAAATCTGCTGCCGTCAAACGCAAGGAAAAACTAGAACTCCACGTGAGGTCCATCGAAAAGAGAAGTCTACTCTACGATCAGATCAAAACCGCTGCTGTAGACCAGAAAACAGCAGTAGAGCAGGAAAGAATGAAGTCAAAGAGTCAAGTTAACAAGCAGTTGGAGCTAGTTATTAAGATGGCCCGTCAACGTGCCGGGGATCTTCTGGAAGAAATAGATACCATGTCGAATGCCAAACTAGAGGTTTTAAATACTTTATTTGCAACTGCTACAACCGAACAAAACCAACTGAACGACGTTGTCGACTTCTCGAGAAAGCTTATAAACCATGGGAACGATAAGGATGTCCTGCAAATGGTGGCCGCCTGTGAGCAAAGCAATGAGGGCGCCCTGCAGTCCCTCGACATCCCGAAACTGCCAGCAGCTTTGACCCAGCTACAGCTTATCACCCAGGACATGGAGGAGTGCGTTACCAATATCAACAGTTGCTTTGGAGACGTGGTTCCTGCTGCGAGTGGAAGACTAGTGAGATCAATCAAAGTAGAACTTACTATGTCTCCTAAGGAATTTATCAATCACGTCACCACTGGTGCAAATGGTGACACCCTCATTGGAATTTGGTGTAATGAGGACAAATCACGGAATAGAATCCACATCTACGATACCACCTTCGCCCTACAGGGCACAATTCCAAACCCAAGAGCAGTAAAAAATAACGCATTTGGTGGGATTGCCATTGATGATGATGGTAACATCGTCACTAGCTGTCAAACGTCAAATGAAATCATCGTCTACACCAAGAGAGGGAACAAGGTAAGGAACTTCCGCAGTAAGTCACCAGAAGCAGTAGCGGTTAACAGCAAGGGTCACTATGTAGTGGCAGGTCGTTATACTCTGACTGTGCACCACAAGGATGGCAAAATCCTTCAGACGACATCAGACCCAGGGGGTAAATATCAGAAATACATCCACTGTAACGTGAATGATGACGTCATCGTCACAGGAGATCGCATGCGTGTATACGATTCCACTCTCCAGCTTAAATACAGATATGGTACCCAGGGTGATGGGGACGAACAGGTGAACATTCCACTCGGCACATGCTGCTTGGATAATGGAGACATAATTCTAACCGACTTCGGGAACAATCGTCTACACCTGGTGTCACCGGATGGGAAATTGAAATGTTTTCTTTTAAGCAAAGAAAATGGACTACACCAACCGAAAGATGTTGCTATAAACCATCTTGGAAAACTGGTGGTTGCGGAAAAAGAAGGCGTGATTAAATCATTTGAATTATGAGTGGTTGTTAAGTTAACAATAGACTTTGAACACATATTTTAACACTGTGTCCGTGGTCCCCGCCGGCCAGTTTTCACGCGTTTTCCCCTCGGTGGACCCTTGGTGAACCTCCCAGTGAAAAACTGGATGATATTTACGCCTTTTTTTCACTAAATAACAGCTAGTGTAAATTTGGAGCATTTCGATATAAAAATTGTTAAACCAAAAAAAAAAAAAAAGAGTATAAAATATGGTTGTTTAACACATGAAGTCGATATATGTTAAATGATATACTTTTTATTTGTAAAAAAATTTTAAAGACCTAGTACGTAAATTTTACTATGTGTGACATCCTTATATTTGCTAATTTAAAATAAAGTATACATTAAATCACAATTGATCTTTTATTTTTGTGGCTAATTTAAATGTTATTACGCTCAAAATGTTAAGTCGATTATGTGTAGTTAATAAATTTAATAATATCGTGTTCTAATGTATATTCTGGTTTTATTTTGCCTCAGTCTAGGACTGCAGCAAGTAGGTGGCACTAAATAATTCAGGAAATATCATTTTGAATACTTATTATGAAAATTCAATGATACATTACATTGATTAATTAACTAGACTGCGAATCAATTTGCTGCAAAAAACTACATATTTTGAAGTAAAAAAAAACAACTATGCAGTCATTTAGTCTTCCGAACTATTGCTTTGTGGTCACAACCTTTCTGAAGCTCTAAAATATCTTCAAACTACAAAAAAAAAAAAAAAAAAAAAAAAAAAAATTAAGTTCTCACCTTGTGGAAACAGATTTTGACGCTGCCATTATGCTTTGGTTTTTCGTAATCACCGCAAGTTGGCGCTTCGGTTCCCAGTTATGACGAGCGCCAACCCTATTGTTCACGTTGTAAAGTATGTGCATCCTTCATCTAGAATGTTATGCAGCATTTTCGGTAATCAAGAAAACCAGACTCATTAGTCATTCCAGTGTGCGTTGACAAAATCATTAAGAAAAATCATTTCTTTTTTTTTGGCCATATAATAATTTTTGATGATTTTCATTTATCAGCCTTTGAAACAAGTGCGTGCTTTTTAGAAAATCATTTATCTGATAAATGAGCCCTGACCACCTACCAACCATGACGGTAATGAGAGGACGGCACAGAAATAAATCCTTGGCAAATAGGTGACCTAGCCCGGTGTCATGTACCAGAAAGTCCCCCGTGACAGAGAGTCCGCTGCTCATTACTTTGTACAGTTGAGACGCGCACTAGATTTTGACCCATTTAGGTCAGGCTGACCCGAACCATTATAACTATATGGAGGGCGAACTTTCTGTCACACGGACCCTCAGTTTCGTGACACCGGTCTTCCCCTCCCAGTGTCCGCGGCTCAGACCAGTCCGATCTGGGGTTCTAACTATAATACACTCAGTGTACTCATAATCGAGTATTGTAATAACCAGCCGGTTGGTTATATTCAGGTTCATAGATTTCTCCATCACCAATAAGACAACTGGGGCAGGCAGGTGTAGTTCTCTTCTACATGGTTTATTTAATTGACAGTAAACTCAGGTCTCTCTCTCTCTCTCTCTCTCTCTCTCTCTCTCTCTCTCTCTCTCATATAATAGAGACATATATATATATGTCTCTATTATATGTCCCTATATATATATATATATATATATATATATATATATATATATATATATATATATATGTCCCTCCCTCTCTGTGGCTCTGGCGCCTCTTTTATACCTGATCCTAATTTGCATTCCAAACTATCTTCTATAACTGGCGGTATCAACTTGTCATGCTTAAATACATCTGAATTAATTAAAACTTAATTTTAGATACATTTAAATTGCATAAATATGCAAATTATATACATGGAAATCTAACTATCAGTTCTATTACTGGTTCACTACATGCAAGATGTCAAATAAATACATCTGTATAAATTAAACAATTAAACAAATATGCAAATCACATACATGCAAATTTAAACTTATCAGTGTTATTAATGGTTCACTACACATATGTTAACCGTATGTAGAGCGCTCATATCAAGTCCATGTCAGGAACTAAAATAATATATTTCTAATATTACGGATTTATCAGGATTGAAGAGTTTCTGTTGAGTCTGATTTGCGTCTGATTTGAGAACATATGCAATGGCATCCACTTTTATTTGTGATACAAATACAATACATTATTGATATGTTTGTAATTCATACTGTTCTTATCAGCGCACTATTGCGGAAAATTTATCATTTTTGGTCAATTCTGTTGCTGATGACCAACGAAGGCCCGAATCCCAAGAAAATTTGTATCCTTAATTCATCCTCTCGTCAGTGTGACCGGGCCTTTACAGCGTGTATGGGAGATCATACTTTGCACTGAGGTTGAAACCGGAAACGATAGTTATGCACAACAAATCGTTTTCTTCACGCGTCAAAATTTGCGACGAAGAGCATTTTTTGTTTTTCTCTAGTGTGTGTGTGTGTGCCGTAGATGATTAATGAGATGACCAAAAAACATGACAATACTATTCTTTTCCACAATGCACAGCTGTTAAACAGCCTGGCATGTCCGTGTCCCAGATTTAAGCTCTGTTTTAGTATTGTTTTCAGCTAGGAATTAAAAAGTTAAAAAATACACAGGCATGTTTGGAAACACACAGTTGTTTGTTATAAGAAGACAAACCTATCCTTTTTACGTGAAAGCAACCCCATTGCATACCAACACATAGGAATCCTTGACAGACTGTCATAGATGATAATCTATATATATATGAAATGAGCGTGAAGCCATCTTGTTAAATGATGATAAACGCAGATCGCTAGTCTAGCAAGTCTGATTCTCATCTGCTTAATCACTGTGAAGAATCACTCGTGTCGCTGGGGTTTAGAAAGACCTCATTTTCCGGTGCACTGCTAGTACCCATGTTTGACAACTGTGCCGGTTTGTGTTTACGTTTACAATTAAGTTGCAGTTAATATATAATACCATATTTTATCATATATGCAGAAACAACACAGCTGGTACAGACAGTAGCTCGGTATTGACCGTTATGTCGGACAATGAGACTGATAGATACAGTGAAATACCAGAACAAAATATCCAAGGGGGGCACGGCGCGGGTCCTGTGAATGATATTTGGTTACTGGAATGGCCGCCAGAGGACGAGACCAGACCGGTGTCAGCAAGAGACAAATGGCAGGCTTTCCGGCGTTCCCAGGGGTTGGTCATAGCCGTGGTGTTCGTGTCCCTGGCGCTCCAATAGTAGGCTTGTTAAGAGGTCAAACGCTGCATTTTATAGTACAAATGTCTAACTTGGCATAAATGTTCCTTGGGCCAAAAGAAAATTTTTTATCCAAAGAGACGCCCTCTATCGATACATTAATTAGCATTAATTATGCAAATTAGGTGCCAAAATATATAATATTTCATATTTCCATTAATTTTTGGCCTAGAAACATGTNGTTCTTAACAAGCCTACTACAAACCAGCCTGTCGGCAACCTTGGGTAAGTGATCATATTAAATAAGGCTAAGTGACCATGAAGTTAAGTGATCATAAGGCTAAATGACCATAAGGCTAAGTGATCATGAAGTTAAGTGATAATAGAAGATTAGAAGGCTAAGAAGCGATTAGAATAAGTGAAAAACGACAGCTAAAAAGAACCTGAATAATTGCCATTTGTGATGAACGAATGTATGGATGGTGGGGATGGCGGTACTTGTTAATACAATGTATTACCCTCCGTTGAGTAGCGTATTACCAAGGACCCAAAATATTTTCTATCCTAGTTGTCACCAGCGTGCTATGTGCCAGATAACCTCGAGCATCCGTGAGAGGTGTTCGAAACATTTATCGCGAGAGGGTGGTTGTGTTACATTTTATGTATGAACACCTGTACCGAGATTAAGGCTTCGTTCACATAGAAAGTCTATTTTCTAAAAATCTATTTTCTATTCGCGGTATCTTGTGATCACGGTCTGTGCCCTGAATAACCTGCGGCGTAATTACTGGCAGCGCGAGCCAGTTACTTCCAAAGCTGTAATTAATTCTCGGCTGCGCTCGGAGTGATCACAAGATACCGCGAATAGAAAATAGATTTTTAGAAAATAGATTTTTCATGTGAACGGAGTCTAAGTGCTCGCATTTCACCGAAAGCCATTCTTAAGACCGAACAAAGCGTATAGCGCCACGATCACACTACATTTGTGCATTTTTGTGGCAAAAATGTTAATTGATTTAACATGTACAAATAAAACGTTTAGTTGCTGCTGTTGTTGAAACACTATTAATCTTTTAACTGGACAGGGGAGAACCCGAGGGGTTATAGTTGCCACATCGTTAATTACTTCAAGGTGCGACATTTTGATCATTAAATTACTGTGGCTTTGAATACGGAATCATCATACCATGGATTTTATATATTGCAAATTGAATACCAATGCCGTTGTCATAAGTCAACTGTAAGAGTTATGTAAATTTGCAGCTTCGAAAGGACATTAGAAAATATGAGACAGTTGAAAGTCTCAATGTTGGCATGGGAATTGATCCCTGAAAAAAATTGTATTTAGTCAAAAATATCAAATTAGACGAAGTTTTAATTATTAAAAAGTATTAATAGTTAATTGGCATTTCGTTGAGACACGAAATCGTTTTTCAATTTTTACCTTTAACTGTTCTTTTTTGGGGAAAACGTCTTTATCCAATATAGAGACATTTGGTATTGCACTTTATAGATACGTTAGATGAGATATAAAAGAAATGTCTTATATGAAAGTTTGTTTATACAAGTTAAATAAGCGTTTTGTTAGAACACGTTGTCCATTACCTACAATTGATACATAAAAAGTAATGCCAGGCTATAAAATGATAAACAGTAGTTTATTTATCAGATAAACTGATGAAGAGAATCTTGCAATATCAAAATACATGTACATACACTTCTTATCTAAGCCCTGTATTATCGGCCTTGTAACCGCTTGCGAACAAATTTTGGCCCACGCTCAACCCTTTTAAATTTATTATTTGATAATGAACACAAAATCATACATCCTTGTCCATGAATTTTATATTGCAGATGATTTTTGTCACATATTGCGCGTGGGCAAAAATGCGTTCTCCAAGGGGTCGCGAGCGCGGAGTAACAGATGATTTATTAAGTTTGTCAAGCGTCAAATTTTACTCAGCGGACAAGTAAATAAAATGCTTAGTTTAAATATGTCTTGATCTAGTACTAATTATATTATTACGATATCTTTAAATATTTGCATATTTATATTATTCTATTGCATTAATGTTAAAATAAGTTCTTCCAGTGTGTCAAGGACACGGCGTCTGTATATTTGCAAGATTTTCATTATTATCCTTTATTTATTTATTTATTTACTTATTGCAGAAGCCATCCTCCCCTGCCTTCTAATGGAAGACGACGAAGATCCAACGACCAGCTGTCAAACCGCTCCAAGTACCTCCAGTGTCGTGGCGGTCTCTGGGGGTGGTGCGGCCGTCCCTGGGGGTGGCAGGGAGGTCCCTAAGATAGAAGGCCTCTCTGGCAAAGGCGGAGTGTTGCTGGCAGTCAAGTTTGCAGTGGAGATAGCGGTGAGGCCGCTGGTCGGGATCGTGGTTGGCAGGCAAGTTTATGAATCTATTTTTCCAAATTTAGGACAGTGGACTAACCAGTCCGCGGATCAGAAATGGCGACCCACTTAAAAGCTTTCCGTCTTTTCCTCCTCTAATACTTAATAGGTCCCCCGTGGCCATTACGCAATAAGCATAAAAGTNAGGCCTTAAACCATCTTTCGTTATATGTCTTTCAGTTGGATTTTAGCTGCATCAGGACTGCTCTTATCTGTAACTGCGTATATTTCGGTAAGTTTACCTCCCGGAAAAGCTTAGGGGCTTATATCTGAAAAGAACTTTAGTCCAAAATCAACTATAGACTAATTTTTTTGGACGTGACCCTTTAAAAATCAAATGCAACTTTGTTCTCAAGTTCTTCTGTAAAATTGGTCAGCCATATTTGATCTGCGGACCAGTTAGTCCACTATGTGAATGCGACCTATAGCAACTGATTGATCGAAGGAGGGGGAAGGGAGTTATTCTGGGGATGTCCAAGAACACAGTTTCGAAAATATAAATATATATTTCTCCCTTAAACACTGTCCTCGCTTCTACATTTAGGCCCCTTTTCGAGTATAATATAAACTATCAAATTTGAACTCGTCGACGTCGAACGCGATAAGTGACTGACTGTAAAGACTGACAACTGTCTGACTTACTGACTAAGTGACTGACCGACTAAGTGACTGACTGACATCTGTCTGACTTACTGACTGACTTACTAAGTGACTGACTGACTTACATCTGTCTAGTGACTAACTGAAACACTAACCTACAGAATAAATAGATGGATGGATGAAACGGTGGAAGGAAGAGTGGAGTTACGACATGATGAAATCGTGCATATACTCCAATACTGTTTCTCATTCAGATATTTAAATCATCTTTAAGGTTTGGCCACAAGTCTCCTCTACTGGTTGGGTGTACTCTAGATGCCGCAGCAACGATAGGTAATTTTTTTATTCAAATTTAAACATTTTTTTTGTATGCTTGAAGCAGTTGCGAGTGCTGTTTATATATGTTTACACATTTTATTGGTTTGATTGTGAGGTTTTGCTTAATATTTATAGAATTCCCTCTGATTTCGTTGGTTTTTGCCCACTGTGTGAATAGCCTTATAGCTAGAAACCTATTTTTGTATTCAAAGTGAATGGTAATTTCGGAATAATTTCATGGTGGTTTCATTTTCAGCTTTTGCATTTGTAAAACAATTCCCTCTGCTGATTCTGATACGCATGGTTCAGGGCCTGGGGTCAAGTGTCACATATGTTGCTGGTACGTTAACATACATCCCCTTATCATGTTTACTTCTTTAATATTTATTTCAATCTGAGCCCTACGGCACGCTAGTAGTCTTAAGTTGTTCAACGATTCATTTTGTCTACTTTTAATGACCAAATCTCTCTCTCTTCCTCTCTCCCTAGACTCTCTCTTATTCTCTCTCTCTCTCTCTCTCTCTCTCATCTTTTACACACACACACACACACACACACACACACACACACACACTACGCACGCATGCCAGCTGATGTACGCGTTCATATTTAATGGGAGCTCACGCAATTAACATTCCAAACAAAAAATGACGTTCACTTTGTAACGCAACTGTTTTTCTGCAACATTCCATTGTAGCCGTGACGTTACTTGCTGAAAGATTCAAAGATAAAAAGGAAAGGACAAAAGCGTTTGCAGTGGCATTTGGAGGGTATGCAGTTGGAATGCTAGGTACGTAGTTTGTATAGCATGGCTAACTTCACTGGTAAATCCTACTCTTTTTTAGAGCCAGGATAAGGAGTGGAGATAATTGCATACATGAATTCTCGCTAGATAAAGTAGAGAAAATTTCCAGAGAATTAGCCAGAGATATATCTGTGATTGCATATAGTAAAAAAATGAATGTAGATGAACTCTTGTTTTTTGTGGGTTGTTGGGGGGGGGGGGAGGGGGGGGAGAAGTCGATCACAAGGACAAAGCAAATAAAGAATTTTATTTCCAGTCGATATATTAAAAAAGACAATAAAACGCAAGCTATGTTGAGGGGTTTTTTTTGGACAATTAAGAATAAAACAATTAAAGAATTATTTATCGTTAATTATTTAAATTTATTAGATAATTATTCAGTTTTCTATAAAATGACCTATTTTAGGAGGTTACTCCATGGGCAGTGTGTTATATCAGCTATTGGGCAGACTGGCGCCTTTTCTTTTACAGGGAGGTCTCAAATGTTTTGACGCAGGTAGGGATAATATAATATAATATAATATAATATAATATAATATAATGCAATAAATATCTCAAAAAATAAAATATCATCTCACAATAACATTGTTATTCATTTCTTTAATTTTGCAGTCGTAACATCTTAATCGGACTGCAAAATGCGTTCTTGGAACTTTAAGAATTCTTTTGTTTTCTCTCGTCTAACTTAGGGCTACGTTTGCTGGTTGTTTGCCCCACAGCGGAGGTAAGACTTGTTGTCGTATGAATCACTGTTATCTAGGAAAAAAGGCCCTTTTCAAGGGCATTAGTTCATTCAGTTATTCCCTTAACTTCCATAATCAATAAAGAGGTGCATTTCACATTCGCGAAGTATCAACAAATGAAATTGAATGTATTCGAAATAGTATTCAGTTTTTTTAAACATAAATGGGTAAAGAGCAAATATCCAAGGCTGTCTCAACTTTACCTCTACATTAAATATTTACCATGTCTATACATTACGTAAGGTGCCTAAATTGTAGCGTATGTTCCGATAACGCATGTTCCAGGTCATAAAATTTTAATTTTTATATCGCGTTCCGACATATTTTGTAGTGATTCAGGCAAGGTCAATCATTTGTGACGTAAGGATGTTTTTATAAATATTTAAACTGTAGCTCAAGGGGCTTTGCGTCATGGCTAATACTATGTAACGTATTTTCCCCAGAAAAGTTGTAAGAAAGTTTCATCTTGCTCAAGTACTTGGTGCAATAGGAAACAAGGTTTTCTGTTGCTGACTGAATTTTATGAACCTCATTTGCACCTCTGTATTGGGTTTGGGTGTAAAGCTATAGAGCTTTAACAAAATTGAATGCTTAAAACTGTCAAAACATGTTGAAACTAGAAAAGCACTCCGAGAGCGCAGACCTCCGCCAAGGCAGCAAAGTCTCCATCCAATGCCGTTTCACCCCTAAATTTTCATTCTATACTAGTAATGATTTTTTTTATTTTGATTATTGATTATTAATTGATTATTGATTGATAATTGATCCGGATCACCACCAAAAACTAATAATCTGTTCCTTGACCCACTTCTGACAGTTCCTGAAAATTTCATCAAAATTGGTCCATAACTTTTTGAGTTATGTTGATGACAGACAGACAGAAAGACAGACAGACAAACAAACAAACAAACAAACAAACGGGGGTGAAAACATAACCTCCTTGGCGTAGGTAAGAATGAATTTAGGAAATATTTAATGATCTTGTAATAGACACAGATATTGACTTTTGAATAATCATCACCCTTTCCGCCAAAACGTAAACAATATAAGAATGTCTATATAGTCCCTTTACAAATGTCTTATTTTTTATAGGGTACTGATGACGACAATAAATCATTTACACTCTCGAGGTTTCTCAATATCATACGAGACCCGTATATTATCCATGCCTTAGGTAAGTTCTCCACAAACTGCCTCGTTTTGGAAATTAAAACATATACAAGCATGCACATGCAACAGTGACGAGGTCGAGGTTACATCAAAGTCGGGTTTTCTGGGTTATATGTTCCGTTTAGTTTTCAACGAACTGTTATCCAACACAACACAACACGGCGTCTTTAGGGCTATGTGCGGATCCAGCACATTTTATTATAGCCGTTATGCCCACCAACATATCAACCGAACTCCTTTTGTTTTAAACAACGAAAAACAACAATTTCGTCTACCAACCGTGTCGCTGCTCCTTAGCCAACTTACATGTATCACTTACAATTTTAATAATTTCTTACCGATCCTTTTAATTATTCGGACACTGCTAGTAATGTTTCTGTCAGTTAGTGTTTTCGCGCCACTCCCTTGGAACATTTTATGATGTACATTTAATCCTTTTGTAACAGTGCTATTGCAGATTATATATTGCATACTCTTGATATACAGGCAGAAGGGACCTTGACAAAATCCTTCTTTGTAGGTTTGGCCTTCGTCACTGAATTTGCCTACTCCCCAATATTAGCAATGGCGCCACCGTGGCTCTTACAGAGAGGAGCACAGGAGTGGCAAATAGGTAGGTGCACCGCATTTGAATTACAACTTGACTTGCCCTGGCCCATTACTGATGTAATTACTGGGTTCATATGGAAAGTGGCCAAAGACCCGGAATTAAGAGATGTCATTTTGCAAGTGGAGTTTATTTAAAATCTAAACGAAATTTAGACACGATAGTTTTAAGGATACTTAATTTAAGAGCGAGCTTTCTTTTTTACCATGTACCATGACCAGTCAAATGGACCCATTTCTGTATTTTCAGGTGTATTATTTTTGGTCTCAGGAGTGGCCCAGCTTATAATGCAAGAAGTTGTAAAGCGACTATCAAGCATAGTGGATAAGTAGGTGGTTTTCTCTTTTTAACATAACTGATATGTACACGAAGTTACTTTCTTTTTTTTTTTCTTTGCGGGTGATTGAAACAGATCTTTGATTTTTGAAGTCTTTGGGACCATTCAGAACAATCTGATCAGTGGACTTACAGATCCGCGGATCAAATATGGCCGACCCGCTTGAAAGCCTGCTGCACAATCCTCGCATAGACACTGAATAGATTCCCCGCGGGGATTACGCAGTTAATTTTCAAGGGGGTCGGCCATATTTGATCCGCGGATCTGTTTCTGACCAATTTTGGTTGCGAATGCGGTCTTTGAAAGCTCGCTTGAATGACCCCATTCACCGTTCAGATTAGCAGCATTAATAGTGTTATATATGACTTCCAGAAATGACAGCTTTAATTCTCTCAACTTAAACTGTTGAAGTATACAGTTAATATTCGTATTACATCGTATGCTGTAGTATAGTTTCACAATTTCCTCTTTATGAGGCCTTAAACCATCTTTCGTTATATGTCTTTCAGTTGGATTTTAGCTGCATCAGGACTGCTCTTATCTGTAACTGCGTATATTTCGGTAAGTTTACCTCCCGGAAAAGCTTAGGGGCTTATATCTGAAAAGAACTTTAGTCCAAAATCAACTATAGACTAATTTTTTTGGACGTGACCCTTTAAAAATCAAATGCAACTTTGTTCTCAAGTTCTTCTGTAAAATTTATTTATTTATTTATTTATTTATTTATTTATTTATTTATTAAAAGTATTTTGCTGCTTCATTTAATGTGTCCAGAAGACAGGATTGGCTCACGTTGAATTTACAAGTTTAACTCTCACACACTCACCTTCATGAAAAAACAAGAAACCGAAACTGCACCTGCTTATTGAGTGTATTTTCGCTTTAATAGTACCCATGGACGAGGAGTGTTTGGGAAGCTCTGGCACCAAACTGTATCTTGTGTGCTGGATTTGCCTTTGTGATGACAGTCGTGTCGCCCATAGTAACCAACCTCGTGGAACTACGTCACAACTCCGAGATAGCGCAGGTGCTCGGACTTTCCAGCGCCATGTTGTCTCTGGGGTTCGCTGTGGGTGGGTAGAGCTTACCTTGTACAACGGGTGTCAATAGTTTTGTCAATTTATGAGTTGGAGTGTTTCTTAAACTAAGGTTTCCTTTCGTATTTTACTCAAGGTACCTCTACAGAAGTCAACTTTTCTCTTAAAACAGAAGATGACATTTAAATCGTTAGAATAACAGTAGGGCCTACCTTATCCAATTAGTTGAAAAAGAATCTCTCTCTCTTTCTCTGTTTGAGTAGAACGAATTGTTAATCCATAATGTTATCTTTAAGGTACGTCAGGTACTGGTGCACTAATGGCCGCTACGACGTTTGAATGGTAAGATTGTTCAGAGATGGGCCTACTAATTTGTTATTCGACTGACGTTAAATCTGTTATTCTGATCCCTTGTCAGTTTCGATTTTCTTTGTTGGCTTTGTGACGGTATAAAACACTTAACTTTGAACATGGGCCTACATACTCACATATTTTACTCTATGGGCTCATTACACATGAGAAGGGACAATTACAACCCTAAATGCTCATTGCTTCTGAAAAGGTTGGATTTTTAGTGAAGTCCGCCCCTTTTTTCATATACGGAGTATATATTTATATGTTTATTCATTTACACGTTTCTATTCACTTTGGCCTATCTGTACACATTGTAGGGGGTGTTACATGGTTGCCTTCGTGTGCATCATATTCGCATGTTTGTGTCTGATAATGGTTTTTCATCCAGTACCAGCGAATTGTACGGTAAGTGTAGAAAAGTTATTGCTTTTTCCATATTCACTTTCCCGTAAACAACAAATTCTTCTGCAGTTGGAATAGTCTACCGTTTGTACAGTGTAGCATGCCGTTTGTCACCTTTATAGTAATCCTTTTTTGTTTACATGTTTATTTTTTGTCTTGCAGGAATAATTTTAGATTGGCTAAAGAAACCTTATATTGTTCTGTTCTGTATTCTAGGAAGAAAAATCTGCTGATGAAGCGTACGAAAGATGTCCTTCCGACGAAGAATAAATGGATTTAAAAAAACTTTAGTGCTCCGATAAAATTTCGTTTTTTTAATATCATTTACTGTGATTATCACTTAATCACATTTGCTTTATTATATGAAATCTACAAAGTGATCTCAGTTACGCAACAATATATTATTTGTCTGAGAAGAAAAATTTACTTGCTTAATTGGAATGAAACACACAACGCATATCTTTCATACGTGTGTGTGTGTGTGTGTGTGTGCGTGTGCGTGTGTGTGAGAGAGAGAGAGAGAGAGAGTGTGTCAACGCGATACATACCATGCCATGCTGACTTTATTTTGATTTTATTTATTTTCGTTCAATTTTATTCCTTTGCTTTATAGCAATTAAATATTGAAAAACACTTTTGACTGAATAAAGACAATTCAAGTTAAATTTGATAAACTATCATTTTTAAATAACTGTTCAAAAAAAATTGATTACCATTGAGTAATTGCTGAATCAATCTAGCTTTGAATTGAAAAATTTATTCAATTTTAGTGAGTCATTAAACTAGACAGCAAAGTTGGCAAATGTACAGTCACCAGACAGCAAAAAGAAAAAAATCCAAAAAATATTTAAAAAAAAAAAAAAAAAAAAAAAAAATCAACCTTTCAAATATTCGAAAAAAAAAGAACTGCACCTTATTAACAAATAGGACCTTAACCCACCAACAAATTTGAATTAAAGCAAATGTACGGCGCCAATAATACGGATTGGCAACAAAATTCTAAGTCATGCATGTCTCACTTCAGAAACATAGCTTCACTGAGAAAGCATCTAAGTTATTCCTCCGCAGCTATACTTTTCTACACGCTTTTATCTGGCGACTTCTGAAAGCCAGTCAGAATATTTCAAGATTACTGAGTATGTTGAAAGTCTTTTATTTTGAGTTACCAAACCCGTAAAGTTCCATGTTTTAATAAAACCCTTTTTATTTCAATCAGGAACGGACAACCGTGTATAACACGATCATCTGGGCCCTGTTGCACCAACGGGGCGTAAATTTGCTCGGATACGACTGTCGTAAACCGCAACGCCTGGCGTCCTGCGATAGTTTTACTCTCCCTACGAGCTACGACCGACATGGCAGGCGTAAATTTACGACTAGGTTAAGACTGGCGTAAACACTACTCCAGTTTTTTCTCCTGTCTTTTCTCGGGCGCATCGTTTTGCGCTGAAGTTACTCGGGCGCAACTGCTACGCCCGAGTTACGAACCGTTGGGGCAACCAGGCACTGTAGGCTAAGATATAATGCGTTAGGGTGTATGCTGGGTAGATTGCGGTTGTTGAGATATGATTGCGGTTGTTGAGACATTCCGAGTTCCCAATCTAAACCAAAATGTTCAACATAAAACACAAACGTGTAGCCGACAACATATTCATTTGAAGACTCCTCTGTCTACCTCAATACTATCACCGAAAATGTACTGATGTTAAATCTCATAGTCATCTCAAATATCAAAATGTAATTTCTTAATCCGCAATACAGCATTTAGCTAAAGGGCCCATGCTTGTCACTGTTATACTGTACATGTACCTGTATCCAACCGCTGTACTAAATATATTTTATACAACACTTGCACTAGGTCAGTTTTATCAGTGTACACAAGTGAATTCGGTCAGATAACAGCGATGAAATATATGTCACCACGTCTCTGTTGTGCATAGAGATAGCGCCATATTGCTGATTAAGATAACTTTGAAGTCTCCTTAACACTGAACGTCTCACCTGACCAGGTGTACATGTCAAGAGAGACAGCACATCTAAACGGCGACTGGGGGCGAGTACCTGCCACCAAGAGAAATATTTTTTGGAGTAAGGAGGCTCAGAGGTAATTCGAAATTTGAAACCATACTAGGTTGGCGGTGAAAACAGTCTGTGTCTATAAGTAGGGCGGTAAAAACATACATCGGTGTGGTGTTCGTGCCGTATTCCTCTTATCTTAGTGGCTTAAAAAAGTATTGTAATATACACCCCATAATGCGGGGCTAACGGCGACCTCCACACGTCTGTCGTATGTCGGGAATTGCCTTATTTCATCTAAACATTAAATCTCATACATTACACTAAATGCATTTCTAAATAAAAAAATATTAATGCTGTGTATTTACCTCAATTACCAAATCTTTATCATTTAATCCATATCTTCCATTCAAGATACTGGTCTAAGGAGCCATGTCTCTGTCTAAAATCCTAACGGAAGATTTCCTAACGTGCAGCATATGCCTTGAAAAGTTCAAAGATCCCAAGGTCCTCGGCTGTACACATACCTTTTGCCAGCATTGCCTCCAAGACCATTTGGACAGAAATTTCCGAGGTCAGCCTCGCTTCCCTTGTCCTATCTGTAGACGTCAATGGGACCTCCCTGGGGGCGGTGTTTGCAGTTTACAAACCAACCATCTTCTGGTCAGCATATCACACACACTTGATCAAGTAGAAAAGGCAAAGAATGCCAAAAAATGCGAGGTATGTAGCCTGAGAAAGGTCGGCAATCCACCAACGGCAACAAAACGTTGTTTGGACTGTGAGGAAAGTATGTGTGGTGATTGTTCTTCGGAGCATGTACTTCATAAGTTAAATCGTGACCACAAACTGTTTTCTGTCGACCAGTTTGACAGCGACGAATACGCAAAAGAGCTTCGGGCCCAACAAAACATCCTTTGTGACCACAACAACAAGGACCCCGTAGAAATATTCTGCCCAGTGTGTAAAAAGTTCATCTGCGTTGGTTGTATGGTTTTAGAACACAAAGATCATGATTGCCTAAGAATCAAAACTGCTGTCGCCAAACGCAAGGAAAAACTAGAACTCCTCGTTAGCCCCATCGAGAAGAAACGTGCACTCTATGATCAGGTCAAAACCGCTGCTGAAGACCAAAAATCATCAGTAGAACAGGAAAGAAAAAAGGCAAAGAGCCAAGTTAACAAGCAATTGGAGCTAGTAGTTAAGATGGTCCGTCAACGTGCAGAGGATCTTCTGGAAGAAATAGATGCCAAGTCGGACGCGAAACTAAAAGTTTTTAATGCTTTAATTGCAACTGCTACCGCCGACCAAAAGCAAGTGAACGACGTTCTAGACTTCTCGAGAAAGCTTATTAACCATGGGAACGATATGGATATCCTGCAAATGGCCTCCGCCTGTGAGCAAAGCAGCAACAGCCTCCAAACTCTCGACATCCCGAAACTGCCCGCAGCTTTGACCCAGCTACAGCTTAACACCAACGACATGGAGGAGTGCGTTACCAGTGTCCACAGTTGCCTTGGAGACGTGGTTCCCGCTGCGAGTGGAAGACTAGTGAGATCATTCAAAATAGAACTGGACAAATTTCATGAGGAGGTGATCAGTCACGTGACCATCGATGCAAATGGTGACACCCTTATTGGTCTTTGGTGTGATAAAGACAATTTACGGAATAGAATCCATATCTATGATAACACCTTTGTCCTACAGGGCACAATTCCAAACCCACGGGCAGCAGAAAATGACGCGTTTGGTGGGATTGCCATTGATGATGATGGTAACATCGTCACTAGGTGTCAGGGGTCAAATGAAATCATTGTCTACACCAAGACAGGGGACCAGGTGAGAACATTCTACAGTAAATCACCAGAGGCAGTAGCGGTCAACAGCAAGGGTCACTATGTAGTGGCAGGCTGTTTTAATCTGACTGTGCACCACAAGGATGGCAAGGTCCTGCAGACGACACCAGACCCACGTGGTAAATATTTCAAATACGTTCACTGTAACGTGAATGACGACGTCATAGTCTCAAATCCCGGAGATGGTCACATTCGTGTGTACAATTCCACTCTCAAGCTTAAATACAAATATGGTACCCAGGGTGATGGGGACGGACAGGTTAACGGTCCACGCGGCACATGCCGCTTGAATAATGGAGACATAATTCTAGCAGACCTCAACAACCATCGTTTACACCTGGTGTCACCGGATGGGAAATTCAAGTGTTTTCTCTTAAACAAAGATAATGGACTGCTCAAGCCGAAAGACGTCGCTATTAACCATCTTGGAAAACTGGTCGTCGGGGAAAGTGGAGGCCATATTAAATTATATGAATTATGAGAAGTTGCTAAGATAACCATGGACTCTGAATAGATATTTTAGACACGGACAATATCCCAGGTGACATTGTATTGGCGGCCTCCCGCAAGCCGATTTTAACGCGTTTCGCCCTCTGTTCAGTTCACAAAAATAACACCCAGAAATGTAAATTAATATTAAACGAGTCGAATGTACAAGAAAGCGCCTCTATTAACATTATCTGAGGGTTATTTTTGTGAACTGAACAATACCTTCTAAAAAAACTTTTAAAAATAACTTACAAGAGCACGACTTTCTTTTTTAAAAACCTTTTTTTAAAGCCTCACGCTGCTTTTTATAATTCTGCTGCACCTCATTACAGTGACGATTCTTTTAAAGATGCTGTACCATGGGGAATGGAATTTGCCTCCACATTACTGCGGAAGATAACCTGTCCGGACACTTTTAAAGGGGAATCAAATCACACCTTTTTAATAAAAGGCTATACACTAGATTTACAGACTTTTTTGATAGACTTAAACTAAAACTTAAAAGTCTACGTTTTTTAATCAGTTTGTTATATTTTAATCAAGTTTTCCCTTTTTTCTTAAGTTAACTGACATGATTATGAATGGTTATCAATATTATAATACGCTTTTTTTTTAATTTAGCAAACAAGTAGGCCTATAAACAAAGAAAAACAAAATAGCCCATCGCGATGAATTTTGAAATGAAACTGTAAGTCTTATTTGCGTAAAAAGCGAATTTAAAATAAAACAAATCTATCGTTTGGCAGTGGTTTTAGCTGACATCGACATTGATCAGTATATGCACTGTCGGGGAAAGTGGAAACAGCTGCAGGCCCTTTATAAAAATCTAATGGTTTCGTTTCGTGTCCGCCGCTTTTCTCTGAAGCAAATCTAGTAGGCCCTATCTACTTATTTCTTGTATGATAGCTCTCTAAAGCTTATCAACAAGTTGAAACAAGACTTAGTTTAAGTTCCATATATTTTTCGTTGTGTATATTATAATACATTGTCAATCTTAAAAGATTGAAAATCATCCAGGCAGCTCACCCAGGTGACGTTAAAACTCACGAACGGGGCTTATCTTGAGACCTTGACCTAGATCAAAACAACAACATTCCCTTGGCGGATGACAAAGCATTTTTTAAATATTTATTCACACTTTTCATCAGTGACAACCATATCTGACTGGAAGGTGAGACAATACGGACAAATAGGCATATTTTGGCGTTCAAACCAGTCCGATAAGGCCACGAAATGAGCGGGAAGCCGCTGATCAAGATCGACGTTGTCAGCGACGTGATGTGACCGTGGTGTTGGGTCGGGAAGAGAAAGTTGGAGACGGCGATGCAGGCCGTGGCTGACCGCTACGAGTTCCGCGTCCGCTGGGAACCTTTCCTTCTCCGACCCAACATGCCACCAGAAGGGATTGAGAAACCCGCGCATATGAGACAGTCAACTGGGTAAGCGTTAGGTGTCGATTGGACAGGAATGTTAGTCCCCCCTCGGGGAATGGAAATCCGGGGACTCATTTTGTGTGTGTGTATGTGTGTGTGTGTGAGAGAGAGAGAGAGAGAGAGAGAGAGAAACGGGGGCCAGGGTAGGGTTAGTTGGAGTATTGGGATTAGTATGTGAGACAAATGTCACCTGTACAAAGTAATGGAGAACGGACTACGGTTTCTAGGTGACTTCCATTTTTGTCACGCCTGGAATTGAAGTTGGCGGGGTGTGGGTTTGTGTATGTGTGTGTGTGGGGGTGGGGGGGTGGGGGTGCAATTTTCAGTGTGTGTTTTGTACTGTCATAGAGTATCTGTCGTTTTGGGTACCTAATCCATGCAGAAAAACTATCACAAATGGGCTTCACATTTACACCAGACAATTTCTCTTTGCGTACTACCAATCCCCCCCCTTTTTGGTATATATCCCAGTACTGTAGTATTTCATGTACATGTATCACTTCATCTTAATGTTTTACATTTTCTAGTGGTCATCTTACCCAGGCAGGGGCAGCAGTAGGCATTGACTTCACTTACAAGAGTGACAGGTTTCCCTACACACTGCCTGCCCATGTGCTTCAGGAGTATGCCAAAAATGTGGACGGAGGGAATAAACAGAATGATGTGGCTGAACGCCTGTTCAAGGTGAGAATAATTTTGGTGTTTAATATTTTTTGCTAATGAACACACAGTCTACACTTTTTTAGACTTATGTATAAGTTCATCTTTTGATTTTGTTTTAAAGATGTAATTTGAGTTTCGTTACGTTATTTAAAATTTTTAACCCATTTTATGGCATAGTATCTTCCTATTTTACTGAGTACTGAGCTGTTTACGTAAATGATTTATACAGCAAAAACTCTGTTGAATTGTTGACTTTAAAAATCTTGTCAGAAGACAATTTTCCAGGGACATACCTCTTTTACTTTGAAAAATTTGTCAAAACTCAATATAAATTTGTAAGTTTTAAAAATATTATCATGCATGGCTGCATTGTCTGCCCAAGTTTCTGCCCAAGCTGAAGTGCACCTGAAGCAATAAACCTTGAGGCAGGAGAGCCTTGCTGGTTACAATTTAACCCTTTCAGAAACCGAGTGAATTTTTTTAAAACAAGTGTGGCTCAATTTAAGTCTTTTTCTTTAAATATTTATCTTTCCAGAGTTACTTCACAGATGGCATCCAGCCAAATTTGGACACAATCCTGAAGATAGCCAGGGAGGTGGGTTTTGATGAGACTGAGGTGAGGAATTATGTGACAGACCAGCACAATATAGATACCACCAGAGAGAAGGCCTTAAGCTGGTCAAGAAAAGGGGTTACAGGTATGTACGTCTGGTTTTCCCTCTAAAAGTCCAGTGTATCAGTTTTTAAATGAATACGTGTCCAGTTGACTCCAGTGAGCATTAAATGATTGTCCCGTTATCCTTCAAAATTTTAGTAAAACAGTAATAAAAGTGAGCAGTTATATAAAAGGTAACTCTAATTATGTTATTTTATTAAGAATTTTTATGAATGTATTTATTGAACAGGTTGATTGATCAGAGAAAAAAGTTTTTCAGTGGAGGGGTGGGGTGGGGTGGGTACAACTTCCAGAACTACCATGTAGAGCTTTGTCTTCAGTAATTTCATTTTCAAGATTTTTAAAAGGTCCACTTTCATCTCTGATAGAACAATTGACTGTTACATGAATGGACAGAGAACGTTTTCAGGAGCACAAGATCCTCCCGCTTTTCTACAGATGTTCGATATTGTGGCAAAGAATTCTGCCAATATGTAAATTAGGCTTAAAAGTGAACAAATGAAAAACTGCTAGATGTTGGCTGTTCAAATTGNGTACTGTCATAGAGTATCTGTCGTTTTGGGTACCTAATCCATGCAGAAAAACTATCACAAATGGGCTTCACATTTACACCAGACAATTTCTCTTTGCGTACTACCAATCCCCCCCTTTTTGGTATATATCCCAGTACTGTAGTATTTCATGTACATGTATCACTTCATCTTAATGTTTTACATTTTCTAGTGGTCATCTTACCCAGGCAGGGGCAGCAGTAGGCATTGACTTCACTTACAAGAGTGACAGGTTTCCCTACACACTTCCTGCCCATGTGCTTCAGGAGTATGCCAAAAATATGGATGGAGGGAATAAACAAAATGATGTGGCTGAACGCCTGTTCAAGGTGAGAATAATTTTGGTGTTTAATATTTTTTGCTAATGAACAAACAGTCTACACTTTTTTAGACTTATGTGTAAGTTCATCTTTTGATTTTGTTTTAAAGATGTAATTTATAGAGTTTCGTTACGTTTTTTAAAATTTTAAACCCATTTTATGGCATAGTATCTTCCTATTTTACTGAGTACTGAGCTGCTTACGTAAATTATTTATACAGTAATTGTTGACTTTAAAAATCTTGTCAGAAGACAATTTTCCAGGGACATACCTCTTTTACTTTGAAAAATTTGTCAAAACTCAATATAAATTTGTAAGTTTTAAAAATATTATCATGCATGGCTGCATTGTCTGCCCAAGTTTCTGCCCAAGCTGAAGTGCACCTGAAGCAATAAACCTTCAGGCAGGAGAGCCTTGCTGATAGCAATTTAACTCTCTCAGAAACCCAGTGGGGCTCTATTTAAGTCTTTTTTAAATATTTATCTGTCCAGAGTTACTTCACAGATGGCATCCAGCCAAATTTGGACACAATCCTGAAGATAGCCAGGGAGGTGGGTTTTGATGAGACTGAGGTGAGGAATTATGTGACAGACCAGCACAATATAGATGTCACCAGAGAGAAGGCCTTAAGCTGGTCAAGAAAAGGGGTTACAGGTATGTACGTCTGGCTTTCCCTCTAAAAGTCCAGTGTATCAGTTTTTTAATGAATACGTGTCCAGTTGACTCCAGTGAGCATTAAATGATTGTCCTGTTATCCTTCAAAGTTTTAGTAAAACAGTAATAAAAGTGAGCAGTTATATAAAAGGGAACTCTAATTATGTTATTTTATTAAAAATTTTTATGAATGTATTTATTGAACAGGTTGATTGATCAGAGAAAAAAGTTTTTCAGTGGAGGGGTGGGGTGGGGTGGGGTGGGGTGGGTACAACTTCCAGAACTACCATGTAGAGCTTTGTCTTCAGTAATTTCATTTTCAAGATTTTTAAAAGGTCCACTTTCATCTCTGATAGAACAATTGACTGTTTTGAGGAATAAGGAATGTATGCACTGCATATTGAACCATTAAATTTGATCTATATTGCAGGGGTGCCATGCTTCTACATGAATGGACAGAGAACGTTTTCAGGAGCACAAGATCCTCCCGCTTTTCTACAGATGTTCGATATTGTGGCAAAGAATTCTGCCAATATGTAAATTAGGCTTAAAAGTGAACAAATGAAAAACTGCTAGATGTTGGCTGTTCAAATTGTATGAATGTTATGATATAATATAATCTTGATATGAACATTTAACTGATGGAATGTGACACTTATAGGAGGGAATTATATCGTATATCGTAGAATTCCCTGCTTATAGCAAGGAACAGTAGCACCAATGTGACCATTGAATGCCTACATTCCAGATGTAACAAACCATACATGTTTTTATGAAGCTTTTGTCAGTAAATGGTTAATTCTGATGAAGCAGAGGTCTTTGACAGGCTTGGTTTGTTACAGTTGGAGGAAAACAGATCTGGCAACAGGATCAGGAAAACAGTTAAGAACGAACTGAAGAGGTAACAACTGAATTACTGTGCAATGTGTTGCATCATTTACAAAGATAGAAATTATCTCTATTATTTATTCAAAAACAAATAAATGAACCAAAATAATAACTTTTAATACAAAAATAATTTGTTTATTATTATTATTTTGAGCTCAAGTAGGTGTTACATCACTTTCATTTTTTTTTAAATATTCCCATTTCAGGTGAATAAAACACCATAAGTTCAAGTAACCAACATCACCACGAAAATTCATCCACTGGGCACATCAAAACATTATCAATCACATGGTATTATATGCAACTATATGATTCAGATTTGATACAAATTCCGCTGGGCCAGCCAGTGACATGTTAACTATCATAATAACATGTCTATTAACTCTATCCTCTTCCTTCTTCACATGTAGTCCTGCATGAAAAAATGCACTGAAACTAAAACAACGCGAAGCACCTTGCAAAACTGTATGCTAGCTGGCACAAAGAAGATGTTCATCTAAATACCACCCAGCCACTATCTTTCATAATTTCCACTTTCAAAACTCGTCATTTCTCAAAGACCTTGATTTTTGAGCTGCTGATGTAATGTGCTACGACAAGAAAAAGCTTTATGGCAGCATGAGTACTGTTCACAGTGAAGAAGAAGTAACATCAAACAGACTTTTTTTCAATTGTCTCAGTGCAAGTATTCCCCTACAGAATGCACAGTTTCAATTTGTGTCCTCCTCTACTGATATTAATAATGAGAGAAAAAAACAAAAACTCCATCTTATTTCCATGGTGTTTCAGAGAGTGCAATGCTGGTCAATGCATTTAATATCACTCTGCTCAATGGCAGTATTGCAATGATTCCAAAGATTGCCAATTTTTATGACATGCAAATGTCACATGCCATGAAATCCATCTAAATCTCCAATCTCACAGCACAGCTCCTCTGCTATAACACCTTGACTGGTGTATCCACTTCTTCAAATTTCAGTTCCTGTGTCCATTCATAAAGTTTATTGGCTTCTCTCTCCCATTCCTCTTCCTCCTCTTCGTCTCCACTGTAGTAACTGTCCCCTAACCCCTGGGCCTGACCCAGCCTGGACGGAGAGTGACCAACACTGGACGTCTGAACAAAATAACAATGCATACTATAAACAACTTATTTATGCACATACAGAAGACTGAAATTCAATTGACATAATAAAGAAACTAGTATTTTTACTTACAGAAAATTTAACGTTTCAGTTATCAGTTTTTAATCTCATCCTTTCACTCTCCCTCTTTCTCATTTTTTTTCTCACTCTCTCAGTAACTCATACAAACACACTCACACACACATGCACATACACACAGTCATGCACACACAGAGTCCACCTACCATCTCAGATCTGCTCTCCATCCCGTACATCCTCCTCATCTTAGCCGCCTTCATCTGTGCCTGTTTGGACCTCCTTCCTGTCAACTTGGAGGACTCTCGGCTGTACCTAGTAGACCTAGGAGTGGGACCTGGGGCCTCTGTCACAGCGGGGGTCCTGGGGAGATAACCATGTTTTCTATGTAGTTGTTATCTCATTATATTTAACATATAATACTGTTTTAACTATCAATCCCACTTTCTGTTGTTCTACTATGAAAAAACATTGTCATAAGCCAGTTGACTGTGGGGTGAGGAGAGGTTAAAATTACTTTGAACAAAACTAATACAAACTTTTTAACACATTCATTCAAAATGTATATAATTTTTCAGATCTGTTACCAAGTGACAAGACCATGTGACAACTTTAATATAACATCTGACTTTACAATCATGTATGCCTTGCCTGATTTAACAGGTAACACATCTCAGTACGTGTACTGAAATGCTATCCTTGATCTTTTCTCAAGGCAACCATTTTAACACTGAATCAAAATCAAATACACATCATTGATTCATATGAAATAATATATATCAGCTCCCAATACCTTAATCTAGATATGATCTTAATGTGCTGGAGCTGTGTTTCCTGGGTTATAGGCCTGGAGAGGAGTTGCGGGAGCTCTTTCTTCAGCCTGGGGGACATCCTATGGTGATACAGGTAGTCCACCACATCAAAGAATATGGTGGTTCTGGGTAAAGCTGGAAGAACAGATTGCAGACTTATAATGGAGTCTTTGTGAATACTTCCACATGTAAACATGGTTATAACACTCTTGTTGAATGGTTATTTAATGAGAAGCACATCAAAGCTATGGAACAAAAACAGAAGTGTGTGATTTTCTTACACCTGTGCCATGTTTAAGAAATTAAACTAAATCATTCACTATAAACATATCACACACATACACACACACAAACACACACACGTTACAAGCTGTACCATGCTGTGTATCAAACTTACAATTCAACGTGAGTTTCCTCCATAGGTTTTCTCTTCCTCCTAAATAATGTGGAGTTTCATCTAATTTACTCAGATACTGAAACAGATAAATAAGCAATTTCTTATAAATAATAATTATAATAAAGACATTGACATTGTGGAAACATTTGCTTATCAAGAGAAAAGAATGTTCTTAAGAAAATAACGAATACTATATACAACATTTATGGACATACAGAAGACTACAGTTCAAATGACATTTGCAATACAACATTAAGGCAAAATGAATTTGAAAAATTCTATGAAACTCCACACTAAAAATATATATCTGACATAATGTGGAATTGGAGGTTGAAAAAAAAAAGACACATTATAGCCATTCATAGGTAGCTTTAACCTTTTTGTTTTTAATTTCTTACATGTCAGAGATAATTTCTGAATTCTGAAGTCTAAAACAATTTACTATTTCCTACCACATACTGAGAGTGAAACCCACTTCCAATACCTAAAGCCTCCTAAAGGTAAGCTCTTACCTGCATGTAGTCCTTTAATGTTGTGACATCAATCTCATCTGTTATTTTAAACTGTTCATGGTGAACTGCATCCACTATGATCTGGTCCAGGAATTTTCTGTTACCCATCAGGTCACAGGCATCCTGGGCAGCCTAAGGAAAATACAGTGTACTGTATAGTTATGTAAGAACATACAGACATGAAAAGTAAGTTATTCGTGAGAATAAATTTAAGACTTGATTAAATATACACTTAAAGCTCAAATATACTGTAAAGATTAGATATTATTCATGCAGAATAATAAATTATGTAAGTGCAAGAAGAGATTTATGCAAAAAATATGTGTTGACTGTCCTTTCAATTATGGTGAATTATTGAATATGTAAAACAATAAGAATATTTAGTTCATATTATTGAAATTGTCATCTGCTCCACAATAAGTCTAACTGACCTCAGTTCCTGCCTTTATTACTCTCTTGCCACTAAGATATTGCACTCCTTTGGAAGTTGTATAATTCTTAAAATATATCATTGGTGGAAATTCTTCTCCTCCAAACCTGAAATGGAAAATAGCCTGTGTAGCTTTTCTGAGGAAAAACAGCGTATATATCTTTAAACAGAGGCAAGTACAGGAGAATATTACTGGTTTTCTTGAAGTTTTCCTGACAGTGATGAAAAAAAGTAATACTGCTACTATTACAAAGCACTACTACAAATAATAATAATAAAGACAATAACAGTAATAAATAAATAAAAAATATTACACTGCTGTAGCATTAAACGTAACACCAAGCAAGAGCTGTAAAAATAGAATACTTCAACATTAGTCATAAACTGAACTTAGTCTAGCAAAAGCTGATGGTATAGCACATGCATGAACTCACCTAAATCTGACTTTCACTCCTAAACTTGGGTCCCTTATTAGTTCTGCCTCTTGTGGACTTATTTTCCTTAATATTTCATATGTCAAAGAATTTTCCTGAAATGGCAATAGAAATAAATGTAATGTTTTAATGTATTCATTACTTTTAATCTAATTTTACTGAACATGTTTTTGCAAGACATAAATGTATTTCAGCAATATCAAAAAATATTATTTTATTTGATGTGCAGTTTGTTTCTCTTGGTTAGCCAAAAATCCTATGTATGAAAGATATAAAGTATATTAAATGATACTAAAATACTCACTGCTGCACAGATAGCATGTTTGAGTAACCTGAACATTTGTCTGTCTCTGTAGGATAACCATGTCCTTTCTATAATTCTAGCTGCTGTCATACGCTTCAATCTGAAACAAAATATGTGACATTATTATGCACCCTATAAAATGTAAGATTAACAGAATAATAAGAATGAGTTTAAGGGCTCATTTCCACTGAAGCTACAGTACTGTGGCAGGACACTCTCATACAATACAATTTGTATAACAGATAAACGCAACTTCTCTCATTTCCAAAGTTCTTGTATAATCACCAGTTTTTATGTATTCTACTCAATGCCAGAAGGAGGTGTATAAGTCTTTTAATTTAAAACTGATTGTATACCTTAGACATATATTTACTGAAGAAAAATCTCTGCTTTATTCTTAATTTACTTGCATAACACAACCTCACTGACTATCCATCTTAATAAGCATCAACTTACTCAGAGTTAGACACACCACTGTGATGACCAGAAGACTTGGATTTCGGCCTTCTTTCACTGATATTCCTGTTGTTATTATTGACTTGACTGGTGTCTCTGTGGATGACGGGCTGCCGTGGGGTGGCAACAGGGGTCTGTCCTGGGCTCTGGGACTCCGGACGGTTTGTCTTTGGCAGTGTTATGTTGATAGAGGTACGGCTTCCACCACTGGCAGCGCTCTTCACTGGAGACCCCCTGTTTTCTCGCACAGAAGGCTGGGTCTCTGCCATTCTGATGTGATTACTACTGGCACTGGAATAGGTACTCAATGCTTTATTTATCTAAATAAACTACTGTAAAATTATTTCATGCATAATTTACTATTTTAAACATTGCAATTTTTATAAGCATAGCACTCAGACTAAATGGACATCGCCTTGCACTTTCGTGCTTGCCTCTAGTCTATGCTTCAAACCTCAAGGCTTTATAATTATATATCTAAATCACAAGAAAATCGGTTGTCCCCCATCGCAGCTTGCAGTGTGTTTTTCACAATAAATGTCCTTTCGTATCAGTTCACACACAACTTTGATAGCAGTAGTTTTCTTAATTTTACCCCAGTTTCTACTCGTCTTGAACTTCCAAGTTGAGTTCAAACTGAGAGGTTTTCAAAATCTGAAGATGTTTTCTCCTGGGATTTAGCAAAAACTGGATCATTTGTTCAACTAATCATAAATTTCAAACCTTGCCATATACATATGTAACAAAATAATTGTCTCTGGATGTGAATTTCCTCACAAACGTGACCCAAAAATAAGAAGACATATCTTACCTCGTTAATCTAACCAATCTCGTTTCCACTGAAAACAATCATGGCGACTGTTTTGTTTCTTGGACTTTACTAGAATTGAGACTCATTGGGATTTTATTTTGATCAATATATTTTTTAAAAATACATTAATAAATGTTATATTATTTCACTGATATTTTATATAAAGATTTTACTTATTTTTAATTATAAATTCTCTATTATTTTTATAAAATTATGGTAATTTTGGTTTTAAACAATTTTCACTTCTACACATTTAAAGCTTAGCTTTCTGTGAACCACACTTCCGTTTATGCGCAGACGCAACATTCCACCGGGTTGAAGATTTCATAGCAGAAACAGTGACAGATAATTCATTTTCAGGCGATTCATTTTGATTTTACATTTATTCATGCTCATAAAGTCGCAATCGGTGTGATGCTGTTGATATCGTGAAGTAGTTAGAAGAGTTAAGTTTAAAAGAAAATACAGCTAGCTTCTAAACGCAAGTCGAGGGGACTTGCAAACTGTATCTGAAGCACTGCGACTAAGAACTTCAACGACAAACAGTGACATTAGAGAGTTGACAAACAAGTGTCAGAAAAGGTTAAAATGAGGTTTAAAACCTCATTGCAGAAGGAACCTAAACATATCCTTTTAATTACGATTCATTGTTGTGAGCTGTTTTTGAAAATTCATTTAGAATCTTTGAAAATCCTGTAGGTTAGCTAAATGTAATAATGCGATTTGATGATTTTGTTGATGGCAATGCGAAATGTGAAGGATTCTAAAACTCTGTTTTACATGTGTAAGTGGGTCCAGCATTTTACTCTTTTAAAAGTGTTGTATCTGTTTCGGGGAAACTATCAAACATTGCAAACAACTCTATCATAAGAGCTGGGGCATGAATTTATTTTGGATGTGTTTATATTGGCAGGTGCTCTTTCAAGGGCTGCCTAGTGGGATAGGAACGAATGGTCTCACCACCAATGTTATTTGTATATATCTTGGATTTAATTGTTAATGTTTGTCTATGTATTATTATCATTTTCTAAATTAATAATTTTGTATTACTAGTCTTCTTATGGAAATTCCTATACAATGGATATAGTGGGGACTGTGTTTAAAATTGCCTTCCCACATTTTTACTGTGTTTTCTCCTCCTTAACTCCTTCCCACATACAGAGATAGTGACCTGTACTGGGTGGACGACTCCTGATGAGGTCTACTCTGGCAGTGATGACCACCAGATACTCAGGTAAAGTTTTGAGAAGTATTAATGTAGGTCTATGCTTATGGTGTATATGACGTGAAGAGATATTTTCAAAGCAGTTAGAGGTAAAGATGTAAATCATATTTTAGTGATGAACTATGGACGTGAGGAGATAAAAAACAAAGTGTAATATTATTATTACTCTACAACATAGATGAATATCACTGATGTCACTTACCATTCCAAGTAGAAAAGGTTTAAATAACAGAAGGATTGGGGGGGGGGGGGAGGCAAATAACACTTGATAACTTTGTTAGTAGTTTATTGTATTAATTGTCTGCTTTGAGCTTCCTTGTTACATGTATGTTTCAGGTGAAATTTGCTGAACATTATAATAAGTTTAAAACACATAAATTTGCTATAAAGATTTAATGATATTTGGACAGTTTACGTTAATATTTAGTTTCATTACACACCATGGCTATATTTCAGGTGGAATTTGCTGAACAATGAATGCACATGTCTTGTTAAGCTGGGTAATGATGTCTACCCCACTGACCTGCACTGGTTTCCTAAGAGTGGGGCGGGGGGCAAGAAGGGGGGCGCTGGAGGGGCCGACGTCTTTGTCCTGGGGTCGTCAGATGGTATGGATGCCATGGGATATATCTGATCAGTGTTTAATCATCATTGATGTTATAATTGTTAATTTTACAGCATGTTTTGGGGACGTTTTACTCCTAAATTTTCATATCTGTTTTATCCCTCTATAGCTGCCTGATTTAATTGTGTCAGTTGTTCTTTTCTGCTTGTGTTGATTGAAAAAATTCTGCTCACCCTAATGTTTACGAAAAATCAACGAAGTTCAGTTGTATCTTGAGTTTTAGTAACCTTTGGTGTTTTTTTAATCATTGTGGTGTTTTTTTTCATTAGTCATGACTTTTAATTAGAACTAGAGCAGCTATATTTGAGACCAAATTTCTCCTTTCCAGGCAAATATCATTTGGTGTCTAAGACGGGGCGTGTGGAGAAGTCAGTGGAGGCTCACAGGGGGGCAGTGTTAGCCTGTAGGTGGAGCTATGATGGCACTGCTATGGTGACAGGTAGGTTAGGCATACTTCAGGGATTATTATATAATATATAATATATAATAATATATATGTGGAAGAAAGAAAGAGTAGTTTTTGTTTTTAAGGCTACATATATTGCTTAAAAGGGTATAACGCAATGAGTTAGTGTAAAAATAAAAATACTATTAGAAGAAGTTTCATTAAATAAATGAAATAATTACAGTTTTCCATATTTAAAATCACTATTTGTATTAGGATATTTTTTGTTTTTATTAATAGTAGTAGTAGCTGTTGATATAGCAACTAGTAGTGGCAGTAGTGTTACTACCACTATGATGATAACAAGATCTGTTCACAACATTTCTTTACTGTTCCCATAGCTGGAGAAGATGGCCTTGTAAAAATCTGGTCAAGAAGTGGAATGTTGAGATCAACTCTAGTCCAGAACAGTAAGTCACGCTGTGTACTATGGAGATTTAAATTGTAGATTAATATGCAATTCAAGCATATAACTGTACTTAAAAAATGTAATGTGATAAAATATACATATTCAGAAATATTATCCAGTGGAATACATATTTCTGGAATTACAAAATAGAACCATTATATTATTGCATGACTTTCAACTTCTTATTTATAACAGTTGTTGCACACCTCAGAAGAAAGTATAATTATTCACCAGTCAACTTATAGAAGACATGCTTCATAGACTAAGCTAATAGTTTTTATGTATACCTTCTATACCTGCTATACCTTCAGGTAGCCCAGTGTATTCAGTGTGCTGGAGTCCAGATAATGACCAGATACTGCTGACCAATGGCAAACAGCTGGTGATCAAGCCAATGCAGGCCAACGCCAAACCTGTCATGGTCAGTTCAGTTTATTATTCTTATGAAAGTTTATGGAGGAGTTTTTGTCTCATGAAATAATAATTTATATATTATTTTAATTGGCCTCTTTTTTTTTGAAAGAAGAATTGTACATGGGTTTAAAATTTGGCTCAATCTTAATGTATTCAAATTCTAGTATAAGATATGAATAAATTTAATTGCATTGTGATACAACTGTTTGTGTCTTCTAGTGGAAGGCCCATGATGGTGTGATACTGAAAGCTGACTGGAATGCCTCCAACAACTTGATACTGTCTGGGGGAGAGGACTGCAAGTACAAGGTAAATTGTTTTTATCCCGTGTTGTATACCAAATGCTCAGCTTAGAAAGACTTATTGCAGGTGGGTAGGATGTTCTTACATCTAGTACTGCAGCGGCAGAAGACAGTGCATTGTCATCTCAAAAGAGCATGTGTTAATAACGTCCAGTTAGGAGGGAATGGTATTTGAATCCCTTGGCAAAAAAGTATATAAAAGTACAGTCGACTTAACTGATTGCATCTGTAAGTTATTCCTACATAGACTAATATTGCAAAATCCAAGCACTTTGCATAGTCGACTGCCCGATTTTAGCAGTCTAATCTAAGTCCACGTACTTAAGACATTTTGTAATAAATGACCCAAGTGTTTGGCGTGGGCTCATTTAGACAGGTGTTTTGTAGAAGAAATCTTTGTTTATATTCCAGGTGTGGGACCACTATGGTCGTCTCCTGTACAGCAGTGTCACCCATGACTACCCCATCACCTCTGTGGCATGGACACCTGATGGGGAACTGTTTGCCGTCGGATCTTTTAACACTCTTAGACTGTGTGATAAGGCTGGGGTAGGTGGATGTGGTTTGTTGATTTGCGATTAAAGAGAGATAAAAAAAGTCTTTGTAGAATAATTGTAATCCTTATTGTTTGGGTTTTATTGCATACTGCATGTTAAATTAAAAAAACATAGCTCAGTAGTGAGTACACAGTGGGATGAACTTGTCATAGTCTGAAGTGGCAATTTATTTATTTATTTTTATTTTTTTTGTTGATAAATAAAGTGAATATATCTTTAACTATTCTAGTGGTCATATGCCCTGGAGAAGCCCAACACAGGCAGCATCTTTTCATTATCGTGGTCCAGTGACGGCACGCAGGTCGCAGGGGCTTGTGGGAATGGTCATGTGATCTTTGCACACCTGGTGGAAAAGTAAGTGTTTGGGCCCCAGCTTTTTGTCAAACTGAATAAAATGAATGTGACAGATTTATTAATTGTTGCTTGGGTTGTGTATCACCTTAAAGTTTTGACATTGGCAATTTTTTTTGAACGTTTATTTTGAGTGGGAGGAAATGCAATGTTACATACACCATTATCACTGTTAATGTCCCTGTAGTTGGATTGAGATTAAAAGAATTGTGGAACAAACAGAATGTGGTGTTAAGTCAGACAAACTCTCTTTACAAGTGTACTCATAAAGTTTTTAGACTTCTCTCTTCTCCTTTAATAATTAAATCTATGTCACTTTCTGTGTTTCAGACGCCTAGAATGGAAGAATTTTGAGGTCACAGTGACGGGAGCTAAGACTATAGATGTCAGGAATGTAGTGGACGATACCAAAGACAAGCTAGACTTTAGAGACAGAATCATCAAAACCTCGCTGGGGTTCAACCATCTTGTAGTCACGACATCTTCACAATGTTATGTGTACAGGTAGTATAACTATGGGTTTTAATTTTTTTTAAGAGTCACAGAACAGTGGTTTCCTCAGCTTTAGACATGAACCAAGGGAACACTTGATATGGCTCTCATACAGTGTGCTTTTTTTCTGGCCATTCAAAATCAAAATAAAACATTAACAATAGAATAGACTATTTTAGTGGTGTTGATTTAACTGTATGAACACTCACATTTTGCTCTTATTTCAGCACTCGT